ACAGTCACCCTCTCATCCAAGAAAATACCTCTTAGCTTGATGATCATGTTGAAGATGAAGGCTTTGACCACCAAAGGCAACCTCAAACAGAGATAATATGGATTAATCAGCAGCAGGCACCAGACCAAAGGTCTGCGAAGTTCATTTATGAGCCATCAAGAAGCGAACAAAAGAAAATGAGTGTAGGAATTTATGCCAGAAGATAAAAATCAAGTAGAAAAATTGAGAGAAAACAAAATGCATACCAAAAGGCCCTTCAACCTATATTTATAGGAATTCAGTGGAAGTGAAAACATAACGCAAGATTTTGAGAGAAAACATCATGTCAAAACAAAAATCAAAACAAAAAAAAATTAAAAATAAATTTATTTCATTAAAAAGATAATTATATTTGGATCTTAATCCAACAAAAGATATTTTATAAATTGTTCCTCGGCTGCCTCGAACAAAACCATTCTCTTCCTAACCAGCCTTTTATGCAACATTTGCTCATCAAGCTTATACTAGTTTGCTTGATTGGTCTCACAATGAGTTCTTAGCACAAATGCATCTTCCCGGAGTTCTGTAACCACTCGACAAAGATGAATACCTCCCCCCATTATTCCTCCATAATTACATGAAGATCTTCATCTGGTGAACCAAAGCAACTTCCACCTCATCCAGGTGGTGAGTCAGGTTCTTGCGGACATCCAGTGATCCTCAAACATTTCTCCCCTGGTCTTCATACGATTGGTTGGGTGGTTAACTACGTTTTACTCATTCTTAGGCAGTGCTTGGGGAATGGGGTTTGCCAACTAGATCAAATTTTGACTATCTCCACTGATTGATATGCCCCCGATCTGAGTGTCCTTGTCTACAAGAAACAAAAATCACTGAGCAAATGAGAAACAAAAGCTAAGTATAAAGAAAATAAAGGAAATCACATACCTAGAATTTGATTAACATCATACCAGGTAGCTCCACCCGCATCAAATAATGAGCAGTCAACAACCAACCCCTTCTCACCGACAAGAAGATCACTTCCGTCAATTCCTTGTACATTAGTTGGCAAGGAAACACTCATGACCCCCAGTTGAAATCGAAACTCAGCATGAGTGTTAATCAATTGATTGACCGTTGAGCCTCCCAGCTCCTTCCCAACACTAGGTTGATCCTTCTCCAGACAACTCCTATACCTCCACTCTCTTGGTGGATTATGGTTTCTTAGCCAAATTCTTCTCCTTAGGCTCATCATCAGGTTGGTGTTGTCTTATTCTAAGGGCAGCCAACATCTTAGCTCGGTCTCTCCAGACAACTCCTATACCTCCACTCTCTTGTTGGATTATGGTTTCTTAGCCAAATTCATCTCCTTCGGCTCACCATCAGGTTGGTGTCGTCTTATTCTAAGGGCAGCCAACATCTTAGCTCGGTCAGTAGGTTTTAAAATTGAATCAGATCATTTCTTTATAAGGGATTTGTCGAAACCGAGTAAACGCAAAAAAGGTCATACTTAAAATGATGAAAACTGCTCCCTAAATCCTATATATTTAGGGGGCGAGGGTACAAAAATCTAAGGAGTTGAATTATTGCATTAAATTATGGCTATTAAGAGTTGATTTATTGCATTAAAAATTATTATCCTTATTGCAGCTGTCATTATCAAAGATGAAAATTAAAGAACTTAATATGTACGCCAAAAAAATGGACTGCAAAAATCTTGAGATAATTTGACGGTCTGGATTAAAATAGACAATCAAAGAAATTCCCCTAATAAAAAACTATAAGTCCTCATAAATTCAAGTGGCTGAAGAACCGCAGGGTGAGCAGTAGCCAGCCGGATGAAGGCAGGCAACCAACCAACAAGAAATAGACATTGACATCAATGACCGAACAAAGATATAGTACCCCTAGCAATCTCACCATTACCAATGTGAAGCTTTCTCAAATAATCCTCCAAAATCCTCAAGGATCTTCAGAAATAACCATGAAAATGCAAGTCGACTGGCCACCTTAGAGCTGACTGATTGTCCTTCTCAAGGCAGGCCGACTTCATAGGGTGATGGTCAATTGACATCCAACCAAAATAGTAAACCAACTCTTACTTGAATAACCGAATTGAATGTCTATCGACCATAAGAACTATGTACATTAAAGGATGTAAAAAACAATTAAAAATATGAAAAGGCACGACAAAACACAATAATGTCCTTTAAAGCCCCCAATAAAGTAGGGTTAGATATTTAATTTTCTATATTATAACCCTATCTTTTAAAAATGGGGTCCACATCATGTAAAAATGGCCATTGGCTTTTCTCTCAATATCCATACTTTGTAAGGAGATCTTTCTCTTCATCTCATTTGTAACCTTTAAATTACAATATAAAAATGGGTCACAGAATGTGGGAATGCCCCCATTTTCCCCTATGGGGTAAGTCTATGTGTGTTCTTTAATTTCTTTTTCCCTCTCTCTTTAGTTCTCCCTCAAAATTCCTACCGCTCCAATCCATGGGCATGTCTTAGAGGAAAATTTTGGATTTAACAGTTTAACACATTCACTTGGTCATTTTATATAGTATTTTTCATTGCGTGTTTAACTTTTTCATTGGAAGAGATAGGATTATTGCAACATGAAGTTAAAAAAAATAATAAAAACACATTCACTTGGTCATTTTATATAGTAGTTTTCACTGCGTGTTTAACTTTTTCAATTGGAAGAGATATGATTATTGCAACATGAAGTTAAAAAAAATAATAAAAAAAAATTTAAGGTCGACATAAGTAGAAAAAATTTAAGGTCGACAAAAGTAGTTATGGGTAAGGATTCTTTAGGTTTGAAATTATGCATCATATAATCCTAGCTAACTAGGTCATTTTGATGGAGCTTTAACACAATGCTTAATAGAGATTCGAATAGGCTATTTTGGATGTTGTTAGAACCCTATTTGAAATTTTTTGAAATATGGTATCATTATATATTGAAATTATTTTTCAAATGCATGACCTTTCAACAAAAAATAATTATGTTAGCCACATATGATAGAAAAATGAATTAAGTATCTACATTCTTGTGATGTGTATAAAAGAATGAAAAGAAGATATAAAGTAAATGATTAGTGTTACAAAAAAAAAACATGTCTTAAAATTTCATTAAGCTTATTTACAAAATTGCATTTATCAATAAGAAGAAATTGTTGTGAAACTAGATATGATGTGCCATTTTGATGAAGCTTAATCTAAAAATTTAATTCATAAGATTAAAATATTATTGATTATCATTTTATTTTATTATTAAATGAGATCATATCAATTCAATTGTTTAAGTATATTATTGTGCTATTGAGAATAATGCAAGATTAGTCGATCTGCAATCTTCCACTTAAGTAAATAATGCTACAAATATATAAGATACAAAATTAAATGATCATGTAAATTTCTATGATTTAGATGATGATAACTCCATGGATAATTCATTATTAAAGCATCACATAGATATTAGAGTCTTAGTTCATGAACAACCTTAAACTAGTAAACAAGTGACATCCTTTAATTCTTCAAATATGTTGGCGTTGAAAGTAACAATTCAAAATAAGGAAAGCAAATCTCTTCTCCTAAATAGTCAATGTGTGTAAATATTTCTAATTCAATATTCTTTAATATAATGATATCGTTCAAGTTTATCCATAATTCATTTAGAATTTGGTTAACTTATTAAAATATAATATGAGTTGAAGAAGAATTTGTATCTATGGGGAAAAAAGTTTCTATTCAAAGCAATGGAATCAAGTATATACATTACAATTTTGAAATATTGTTCATGTAACTTGTGAGCTATTAACCTAAAAAAATCAAACATATTTGAGATAAGGGCTCATAAATCAAAACACATTTTCACTTTGAATATTAAATTGAAAGACTACCAACAATGTCAACCTTAGTTGATTTCATATATATAACCAAGATGAATCTCATCAAATCTAATTCTATTTTAGAGTCAAAGATGATTATAACAAATGTAAAGAGAGGAAATGATATTGATTTAAC